CGAGATCAGGGAGGGTTTAATCTGCCATGAGATGAGGAAAAATTTTTTCGTTTCATTCCTCTAGTGCAGCAAAATAGGGAAGAAGAAAACAACAGTTCAGATTTTACGCTTAAAATCTGACTATATTCTGTCACGCATATACACATATATATTGTATATACGTAATGTTGACATCAGAGAAATACAAAGATAAATAGTAATGTAAATATCCCTAACCATTCTTTAAGGCCTACCTCAACTCCTACCCTTTGACTTTCTCATTTATTCTGTCCTCCCTCCAGTAATTATAACTTCTTCTTTTTGTTCAATAGCGCTTAGTCATGCTCTTTTACATCACTTTTCATTCTGAATTACTGTTATTTGTACAAATATATGTGTCTCCCGCTACAGTGGTCATCTTTATGTGAAAACCCAGTATTTAGACAGAGAGTAGGAACTAAAAAGAAAGGATCAACTGGGCCAGGCGCGGTGGGTCATGCCTGTAATCCCAGCACTTTGGGAGGCCGAGGCAGGCGGATCACGAGGTCAGGAGATCGAGACCATCCTGGCCAACACAGTGAAACCCTGTCTCTACTAAAAAAAATACAAAAAATTAGCTGGGTGTGGTGGCGGGCGCCTGTAGTCCCAGCTGCTCGGGAGGCTGAGGTAGGAGAATGGCGTGAACCCAGGAGGCGGAGCTTGCAGTGAGCCAAGATTGTGCCACTACACTCCAGCCTGGGTGACAGAGTGAGACTCTGTCTCAAAAAAAAAAAAAAAAAAAAATCAAATGGATGTGATTTCCTCTAAAAAGTAATAACATTAAATAATAAGATAAGAGAGAAATCCTCTGATTTTGTCTTTTGGTTTGTTTGATGATTTCAAAGTTTTAACGAAAATAAAGTTCTGTGTCCCTGAAGAAATTAAATGATTAAAAAAGAGTGGCCTGGCGTGGTGGCTCACACCTGTAATCCCAGCACTTTGGGAGGCTGAGGCGGGTGGATCACCTGAGGTCAGGAGTTTGAGACCAGCTTGGCCAACATGGCGAAACCCCATCTCTACTAAAAATACAGAAATTACCTGGGCATGGTGGTGTGCCCCTGTAATCCCAGCTACTCGGGAGGCTGAGGCAGGAGAATCGCTTGAACCCTGGAGGCAGAGGTTGCAATGAGCTGAGATCACGCCACTGCACTCCAACCTGGGTGACAGAGTGAAGCTCTGTCTTAAAAACCAAAACCAAAACCAAAACCAAATAAAGTAAAAATGAAAAATAGCCATCACTTAGTTAGCGGATAGTCAGTCACAAGCACCCCCAGCAATGGGGCCTAATTCTAGCTATGCCTGTGATATAAAAACTGATTTAGAGTCACGTGGGAGAGGAGAGAAAAGAGGACTGTGGATAACAGAGAAAAACCGAAGCGTGAGGAAGCAGATGTACTCAGTGGTAGATTTGTGAGCTTCTCTGTTACTCGTCCCTGAAACAGACTTGGAAGATGTTCCTGTCCGTCTGTAGCTGGAAGCCCCTGTGTGAGTTCTAGACTCCGTTCCTAGGAGGAAATAAAGATCCTCCCTAGGACCAGTTCTGTAATTCTGGACCTACTTCAATAACAAAGAATATGACCTAAAGTCATAAAAGATAAGTTAATATGGAAGTGTGTCTTCTTTTTTGAGGGGGCAGGGAAAGAGTCTCACTCTGTCGCCCAGGTTGGAGTGCAGTGGCGCGTTACCGGCTCACTGCAAACTCCGCCTCCTGGGTCCAAGCGATTCTCCCACCTCAGCCTCCTGAGAACCTGGGATTACAGGCGCTTATCATCACATCTGGCTAATTTTTGCATTTTTAGTAAGGACAGACTTTCGCCAGGTTGGTCTTGAACTCTTGACCTCAAGTGATCCGTCTTGGCCTCCCACAGTGCTGGGATTACAGCCATGAACCACTGTGCCTGGCCTGGAAGTATGTATTTTATACATGTGGTAGATGGGGAAGCCAAGTTTAATATCCTTTAATATTGAAACTACATAGAAGCTTCTCTTTGGAACTACGGCCAAATGGAGATTTTTCTTCATGTTACCATGAATTTTTATGTCACATCCGATGTCTTCTGTGGCTTGCAGCTCTTATGAAGTAGCATAGAGCCTGAGTTGGTAGAAAGGTTGTAAGAACAATGTAAAGAGTAGCCAGAGTGGGTTAAAAATTCTGTGCCATTCTCTCTAAGTCTGAGTCTTTTAGTTTTGATTAAGAAGATCACAGTGAATGAATTACTTAGATCCCTTCCTAAGGAGCTTGCTGGATGAGAGACCACACTGATAAAACAAGAAAGATTAACTACACTCCATTTCTGATATGTGGCCCAGACTGTCTTTGGGTGAATGATGAGGCCTAGTCTTGGTTACACAGATGACTGATTAGATTTTTCAGGTGAGAACAAGTGGAAAAGCAAGAATACAGTGTGTGATGTATCTAATTGTAATTTTTATGTATATTATCTAAAAATAATGACATAAATGGGTATTCCTATCTTTAGTTTCTTGGTATAAAAATGGGATAAAATAAGGGCTGGGCACACCGTGGCTCACACCTGTAATCCCAGCACTTTGGGAGGCTGAGGAGGGTGGATCTTGAGGTCAGGAGATCAAGACCATCCTGGCTAACACAGTGAAACCCCGTCTCCACTAAAAATACAAAAAATTAGCTGGGTGTGGTGGCAGGCACCTGTAGTCCCAGCTATTCAGGAGGCTGAGGCAGGAGAATGGCGTGAACTCGGGAGGTGGAGCTTGCAGTGAGCTGAGATTGTGCCACTGCACTCCAGCCTGGGTGACAGAGAGAGACTCTGTCTCAAAAAAAGGGATAAAATTATCAGAAACATTAAAAAAAATCTATACTAAAGCAAAGTAAAAATTATAATCATTAAACTTTGACTGCCGTCAGTACATTTAATATAACTTTAATTTTTACAACAGAGCTACGTAGAAAATAAATATTCCATTAAGTATTGGTTCCATTTATGCTCCGTAACTTTTCATTTCTGCTCACTCATTATATGTAGTGTTTGAAGACTTAAGAAGATAGGATATAAACATCTGTCACTTTGGTCTATTCTGCCTTCAAGTAACAAAGCCTAGATTATCTGCAAACTTTAATCACCATGGCTAGGTGATTCTGTCCCTCCAGTCATGGTCCTGGATTCCTACCACACTGGATAACTTCTTTCCTAGAGCATGGCATTCCTCTACCCAGCCACGAGGACAACAACCTGAGGAGAACCCTCCGTGGAAGCAGAGCTCTCCTTTTCGTCAGGTTGATCACTTGGTAACCACATGAGCGCATCACTCATTCACAAGAAATGGACTTAACCTTTGGAACTGCTTTGCTAAATCTTGAGTTCCCATATTTTACAATCATTCACAGTGCTTGACACAATCACTTTTTGTTCTGAAGGAGTTTTGCCTACTTTTTTATTAGAACCATATTTTTATTATCCAACCTCAGAGATAAAATACTTGCAAAAATTCTACCCTGTCATGTTCACATCAATTTGTGAATTTCAAATATGTCTGGATATATACAACATTAATTCCACGTCATTTAAAGGACCCTTTCATCTAGGTCTCAAGGTGGCTGTTTGTAATAATGTCAGACTTTCAGAAGAGGCTGCTGATAATGTACATTGGTGTTCTTTTAATTAACATCATTCTTGTTTCTCATACTGTGAGCCTTCCATCTGGGTCCTAGATGGAAGGTACTTGTTTTTGGTGAAGATTGGAATTGAGTCAAATGGACGGTTTGTTGACCAAACAATGAAAAAACAAGATAATCAGAAAAATTTGTGTAAATTTTTAAAGTGTGTTTCCTCCCTCCCCCCAAAGTGAATGCATATACTTATTAAGTAAGGGATCATTGCATTCTACTGTATGGATATGAGATTTTAATTAAACAATTTTCTGCTATTAGAAATGTTTCCAGCTTTAACCTATAAAGGCTAACATTATGCTGCATATTCATGATTGCTGTTTCTGTTTAAAGTTCTTAATTTTTTTAAGCATTAATCAAAATGTTTCATGTTATAAACATAACATTTGTTAAATATAGAATTGTAAGGACACGTGCCTAGGAAAAAAGAAGAAATGAAAAGTTGTTCATGATCCCACTACTTCTAATGCTTTGGGGTTTTGGTATACCTATTTCCAGAATGCAAAGTATTCCTGTAGGACGAGTGAGATCTTGTGATATGCAACAAGCTATAAATTATATATACAAAGTGGATAAAATTCCTCATTAAATAGTAAGCTTCCCTTATTTAAATTTTAGCAAACGTTTAAATTACATCTATAAAAGTCATCTCTCTGCATTTCATCTCTGTATCTCCCCAAGCCCCTGAAGCCCAGTAAAATTTATTTTAGATGTGGTTTATAATGGTTGGAGTGACAGCTACCCTGAATATAAGCAGATATTCATCAAAGAACAAAGGCTAGCAATCAAACAATTTTGAGAGCCCTGCAACTGAATTCTAAAATTTCCTGGGCAAAGATGAAGTAATACAACCCCCCCAAACCTGTCCAGCCTGACCAGAGATTTCCCAAATGCCCCTCGGAACTCAGAGCTGCTGCTGAGTTGCCGACTGGTCCAGAGGCAGCTCACTGGCTCACAGGAACAAGAGACAAGGCTGATGTGCCCCTAACTGGGGATTGCTCTTCCATATGCATCAAGCGATGCTCGCTTTCCTCTTCCCTCCAGCAAAATGTCCAAAAGGGAGATTATGCCTGACTTACCTACTACAGCTTTTTAGAGTAAATGATGAAAGAGCTGAGAACTAACTAATAGATCCTATTAATTTGAATCTTCAAAATAAAGTCTGACACTTTCACAACAAAGGCAAATGAGCCATCTCAGGTTGGGGAGGTGGGCTGTGATGCCTGGTCATATTGAAGAAATCTTATTAGCATCTAAAACAGTTTTGGAATAAATAAGCAGGTTTAGCCCTGCATGACTTGGAACTGACACTGATCTTATGTTGCATTTTACAAAGGTTTGAAAAGGGAGAGAACATGCTAAGACGTCCAGTGCACACCTGACATCAGGCTCCTCTGCTCGCCAACGTGCTGAGCCAAGTGGAAGTTACAAGTAGATCTTTTGAAGTAGAAACGGGCCATTGGAAGAGCTTCAGTGTGGGTAAGCATAAACAGACAAATGCAGGGAACAATGAGGTAAACTGTGCTTATTGGATTATGGATTCACAATAGAGTATTTCTAGCATCTTTGTGCTGGGCACTCTGCTAGATACTGTCACACATTTTTTTTAAAGATAATCCTCAAAACAAATGCTGCAAAGTCACTTATCCTCATTTTGCACATAAAGAATCTGACATTGGAAAGTGTAAGTTACCCAAGGCCAAAGCCTGCACAAGAGGCAGAGCCATCCTGGAGCACAGCCTTCAGAGGCCACCGAGTTAGAATCCAAGGAGAGGTGTGGAAAGTGCTATAGACTTCATCAACTCTGGCATAGCTTTTACTGTAGCAAGCATTATTAATAAATTATTTTAGACCTAATTGCGAAGAATGTTGGAAAATAAATACAAATTATTGGCCGGGCGCGGTGGCTCAAGCCTGTAATCCCAGCACTTTGGGAGGCCGAGACGGGCGGATCACGAGGTCAGGAGATCTAGACCATCCTGGCTAACACGGTGAAACCCTGTTTCTACTAAAAAATACAAAACAAAAAAAACCTAGCCAGGCAAGGTGGCGGGTGCCTGTAGTCCCAGCTACTCAGGAGGCTGAGGCAGGAGAATGACGTGAACCCGGGAGGCGGAGCTTGCAGTGAGCTGAGATCCCGGCCACTGCACTCCAGCCTGGGCGACAGAGCGAGACTCTGTCTCAAAAAAAAAAATAAATAAATAAAATAAATAAATACAAATTATTACCCTAGCCTAATAACACAGTATGTTTATTTATATTAGAATAATATGTGTGATCTTAACATACAACTTTTCCAAAAAGAGACATGTCAGACTTGGAGAAGTCCCAGTGATCAACAATAAAAACAAATCTGCTCTTAGCAAGTGGTCCCTGAGTAACCCAGTGCCTCCTGATAATATGCTGCTTGACATCATCGCAGCGACACGAAAGCTCAAGTGCCATAACACGTTAATATTCTTGCGTATAAATGTTAACTTTGAACCTTTCTGTTTTCTCTTAAACAGGAAGGTTTTTTTTTGTGTGTGTGTGTTTTGCCCCCTTGTCCCTCCTGCGTCTATTTCCAGTTATGCCTTCCTTTTGAGGAACCTCTCCGCCTGCTATAACCCAGTCCCACCTTGTCAGTGTGCAGCGACTGGCTCAGAAGTAGCCTTGTGACTCAGGTTGGTCAAACCAGCACCATTCACATTACCTGGTGTATTAATTTCCTGTGGCTGCTGCAACAAATTACCACAAACTTGGTGGCGTCAAGTCACTGAAATTATTCCCTTGCATTTCTGGAGCCCAGGAGTCTGGAATCTGTTTTATGGAGCCAAAACCAAGTTGTCAGAGGGCCACGCTCCCTCCAGAGGCTCTAAGGGAGAGGCTGTTCCTTGCTAATTCTGGCGGCTGCAGGCACTCCCTTACTTGTGGCCCCATCACTCCTATCTCTGCCTCAATAGTCACACTGCCTCCTCCTGTTCTGTGTGTGGGGCCTCCCTCTCTCTTATAAAGACATTTGTGATTGCATTTGGGGGACATCTGCAATATCCAGACTAAATCTCCCATGTCAAGAATCTTAAAGTAATCACATCTTTGAAGACCGCTTTTTCCTCATACTGTAGCATTTGCTTGTTCCAGGATTAGAACCTGGTATCTTTGGGCAACTGTTATTCAGCCAACTGTACTTAGAATTAATGAGAGGAAATATTGTTTCTTTTATTCTGGATGCTCTGAGTGTGTGAGTCTGCAGATATATTGATATTAAGAGGAGAGTACCCACCAGCGAATGGGATCAGCGAGGGAGAAAGTAGCTCAGCAAGACAGAAGGAAACAGGGGCCTGATGACATCACTGTAGGATTCAAGCCGACCCAAGTGAGGCCAATGTCTGGACTACAAATTACGTAAGCCAGTAAATTCCCTTTCTTGCTTAAGACGTTTTTTCTTTTTCTTTTTGCCAACACAAAGCCTAATATAAATTACATCTTCACTATTAGACTAAAACTTCTGAAAAAGTATCTCACATTAGGTCTACTCATAATCTTAGGGATCTGGGAAATTTTTTATTTAAACCCAGTGCTCTGGAATACCCACATGTGTGCATTTTATGAAGTTACTTTGAGTTGAAGGTAGAGTCAAGGTCTTCCTGAGACTTCTTGTGAGGTTTATTTTTCCTTTTTCCATTGTCCAAAGATGTTCCTTACCCTGGCCTTTCATGTTGTTTTTCTTTTAGCATCACCTGACTCCCACTCCATTTCTTTTTCTTTCTCACCTCAAAGGTCTCCTAATTGAAATGTGCTGAAGCAATTGAAATGTGGTACCTCGGCGAATTACTGTCAGACACTGTGGCCTTTGGACCAGCTAGAAGATTGTCACGAAAGGAGAAGTGTATGTTGGTGGAAATTTAGAAAAAAGAATCTCATAAGAAATTTTACTTTGGTAAAACTGTTTCTATGAAAAGAAAATTTTAAAAAGAGGTTGTGAAATGGGGAATGCATCTATTGACAGCTGCGCTTTTCACATAAAATATTCTGAGCATATAAAATAAAATATACCTTGCAGATACAGAGATTTGGGGTAATGTTAAACAAGGTAGGTGTCAACATTTAATTTCAAGGAAGGCAACTGTACAGGCCTTTCTTATGGAATTTCTGTTAACAAGATGGGGAAGCCTGGGCTGAATGGTTAGACATGTGGCAAGTGTGTGGCCAGGTGAAAACTCGATCGAAGAGGGCGACAACTATTGTTCATGCAGAAAGGAGACTTTAGGGATGTGCCTACACCTCTCTTTCCTTTAATGTGTTTCTTAATAACTTCAGTAAGGCCAGAAATGGCTTCTGTACACATCCAAGCCTGACACTAGCAGGGAGAGGCACAGATTAATATATTAAAAGATTAAATCCAAAATGAACCTGAAAACCTGAATCTTGAATTAAATGTAACAAGACCAACCTTAAGTGGCCTCTGCACTAGGTTAACATTCAAATTCACAAACAAAAGATGGAGAAACTATGGCTTAACAATACTTTAAAAACAAACAAACAAAACTCAACATTTTTGGTTAACCGCTTGCTAGATCAATATGAGCCAAAAATGTAAAAACATTGCCAAATAGTTAACTGGATCTTGGTGCTCTGGTAGACCACAGTCCAGAACCTGGGGAAAGATGCCACCTCTCAACTCCGCACCTGCCCCTGCACTTTCAGTGAGAACCAGGCAGACAGATTTATTCAAAGGACAGTGAACAGACAATCAATTGCAGGAAGCCACACCATCCAAGGACGCACTGAAAGAACAAGGACTCTTGGGAAGAAAAATTAGAATTCCCACATGAGTCATGGGATGTGTTTTCAAAATTTTAAACCATACAGAGTCCTAGGGCCACTCTCTGAAATTTAGATTCAGTAGTTAGGGAGGAGATTTTCGTAACTGATCCTTTTACAAATCCCCCCCAGATGATTATGATGATCAAACAGATTTTTTTTTTTTTAAAAAAAACCTAGATTATATGACTTCTAGAGTGGATTCCAACTCTTCTATTCTCCTAAAAATTTTCATTTTCCAAATAACTGTGTGTGTTTTATATGCATCTCACATTGGGTCTATTAACAATCTTAGGGACTTTTAATATTTTTTATTTAAACTCCATGCTCTGGAATACCCATGTGTGCATTTTATTACTATGAATATTTACTTTTAGTCAAAGGTAGAGTCAAGTTGTTCCTGAGAATTTTCAGAAATATATATGTCTATAATATATATAATATACATATTTATGTATATATAATGTATAATGTATGTATAAAAATATACTTTAAAATCCTCCTTAAAATTGTTCTATCAGATACGTATTATGTGCTTTCACTTTTTGCTGAATACTGAGTTAAATATCACAGGGTAGTGCTACTGCTTCTCAGACCCTGCTCACACCCCAGCCCCCAACCTCATGAAGGTCTTTAGGAAACGCACTGCCAACTCCCAGCCTCAGAGACTCTGTGAACATCGGGCAGGGCCTGGCAATCTGTCATTTCTAAAAAGCTTCAGTGATAAAAGGCTTTCCAAGTCTGAAATCATTCTGATGCAGGGAACAAACTAGGGAAAGAAAATGGGATCAGTTCCTATCCCGGCACCAGAGAAGCTTTGCTGGTGCCTAAGTGTGAGGCTTTTCATTTACTGAAGAATTTTGTCTTTTATGAATTGACAAGTTTGATTTCAGGGGCTTCAAGGGAGGAAATGATGCAGGTAGAAGCAACGGCTAGAAAGACTGACTGGCATCAGTGGGTTAATCAGTTCCGGTTCTACCTTACCAGGTGTGGTGGGTGTCAACACGTGACCCAGGAGGCTCGGGGACCAGATCCGTCATTTGTGCTCCTTAATTGTTTCTCGGGGTTTCATGTGCGTCATGGCCATTACTGCTAATGGAAGTTGTGTGCACTCAGCAAGGGACAAGACCCCTGATAATTGTAGGACTTTGTGTTTGAAAAGTAAAGGCACATTTAATGTTTTACACTTTCGAAAACTCTTCCTGTCAGCCTTATTAATTTGCTCTTATTTTGGTAGTCACTGTTCTTTCATCTGAGTGGTTATTTTAAAACGTGAAAGGAGCCTAAATTAGTATTATACATTTTAAGATGTACATTTGCACCCATCATAAACTTTAATTTATACTTTGGACAAATAATTGTAACAGTTGCTATAAAATCAGTTATTTAATAATAGTTTTTACCACTATATTGAATGCAGCAGGAGACAGGCTTAATAGCCTCGTGTCCACAACAAATTTCCAGCTATTATTGGAACATCCATGCCTTTGAAAACTCCACAGGCCAGCCAAATTCCTACTGATTGCATTATTCGAATCTTGCTAAAGACTGGTTCACCACGTGCACACAGTAGTTTTTTACTGAATACATCTGTTTCTCCAACTTCAATTTATTTTGCTTTCTTAGATTTATATCACTATAAAAACTACTGTTATTTTCAATAGAATAATTTTCCATAATCATATATGTGCCCCTTCATGGGACATCTGCAATTCAGTTTTAAATTCAGTTCAATTCAGTGGGTAAATGAAATACAATTAATACTTGTATTTGTAGTAGTTAACATAAGATTTCAAGGGGGAAGAAAAGCAAATTTTAGACATATGCCAAGATAGTTAAGTAAGAAAATTTTAATTGGACTATGTGAGATAAAATGTAAAATAAAAAATATCAAAATACGGCTGGGAGCTGTGGCTCACTCCTGTAATCCCAGCACTTTGGGAGTTTGTCAAGGTGGGTGGATCACAAGGTCAGGAGTTCGAGACTAGCCTGGCCAGCATGGTGAAACCCCGTCTCTACTAAAAATATAAAAATTAGCTGGGCGTGGTGGCGGGTGCCTGTAGTCCCAGCTACTCGGGAGGCTGAGGCAGGAGAATTGCTTGAAACTGGGAAGCAGAGGTTGCAGTGAGCCGAGAGAGCACCACTGCACTCCAGCCTGGGGGACAGAGCAAGACTCCGTCTCAAAAATGAAACAAAACAAAACAAAACAAAAGTACAACTTGATCTCTCATTTTGGCAACTTGCTTTTTAAAATTACGTTCCATTTTCTTAAAAGTATGACTATAGCTTCGAGTTCCTAATCCTAAGATAACTTTGATTATCTGAATTTAAGAAACTATGAAATTATTAAATCCAATTAAGTAAAATACTCAAATCGTCTAATTTATTTTTGTATTTTCTGTAATACCCAGTGTAGCACTTTGCACATGGAAATAGAATGCAACATGTGGGTGGATAAATGTAAGGATTTTTTTCAGGAAATGATTACATCTTCTTGAACTTGAATCATTGGTTTAGTGGGCATCAATTTTTGACAAATCAAATGGTTCTCAATATTTAAAAATTTGCAATACCTAAAAATAGTATGTAGAAGTAAATGAAGACCAACCAAATGAGAACAAGCAAAGGGTATTTATACAGAGCCCGTTATAGCAAAGGAGTCAGCCACCATCACTTGTATTTTGCCAAGACTCAAAGGCAAGCAGAGGAGTGGGAAGACTTTATAGTGGAGAAAAAGCAGGCTCCAGGTGTGCCCTGACTGGAGGCCACTGGCCAGGGAAATTGGAGGCTGCTGACTGGGAGCAGGGGATCCTATGTGATTCGTTTGGATTGTATATTTGGCTTTCTCTGATTGATCCTAAGTTGGAAGCAGGGACAAAAATTAGGAAAGCTGTCAGTTATTAATCAAGTTCTGGACTTTTGGGGCTGAATGCTACAGAGGTTATTTTTTAATTTCCTGCACTGGTTGCTAGAGAGAGTAGTCTGACTTCCTATAGGTCAGAGTTACAGCAGACTGCTTTCACAGACTGGTTAATATAGACAACTATTTGGCTTCCCCAGCTGGTTGCAGGAGATTGTGCATCAAAGTTATATTTTTATACATATTCTGGCCACTGTTCGTTTGTAGATTCAGTACCTTGAGCGCTTAGAAATGGGGCAAGTTGTATAATTCAATGAACAAAGAAAAAATTCAAGGTGAGAACCTATAATTTTGTCCCTTGTCCCAAAAATGTAGTTTGGCAATTTAGTTGACTTTTTAGGAAATTTAGTTTACAGTTGTATTAAAGTTACATATGCACAAAATCTCTAGTAATGAATGCAGTATCCACAACCCAAACACACACATATGCATCTCCCTTTCTGAGAGATAGTCATTTCAACTTTGCTGGCCATTTACGTTGGTATAGACCTTCACATCTCTAACTATCATGTTTATACTGTTAATTTAGGACTTTGCCATTGACTCCCACCTTGGGAGATAATAATTCAGTTCTTTATTTTTTCTAACACCCCTCACCACAACCACCTCTCTACTCCCATACTGCAGAAACGCCACACTTCTGTCCTCTCACTAGAGTTCTATGATTCTTTTGGTCAGGGAAATATTCATGGTTAACATTATTATGACAACCAATGCTGTTTGCAGCTGACACACTATTGTATAAGGTGGTAACATTTCCTTTCCTTCCTAACATTTTAGAGTTAATAATAGACATGTTTTTGCTGGCTTAAGTTCTAATCATCTAATTTCTACCACCAATTCATTCCAAATTCTACCCATAAATATTTATATCTCCTCACTATGTCTAGCATATTAAGTGTTCTGTCAATTTCATCTTCTTGATGACATCTCTCATGGATCCCCTGATCCAATCCAGTTTTCACTAACTTTTCTGCACAGCTCTCATCACTGTATTATAAGCCTCAGAACTTTTTTGGCCTCTATTATGTTGAATCTCTTATATCCCAAATTCTATACTTTTTTTTGAGAGAGGGTCTCTCTCTGTCACCAAGGCTGGAGTGCTGTGGTACGATCACAATTCACTGCAACCTAGACGTCCTTGGCTCAGGTCCTCCCACCTCAGCCTCCTGACTAGCTAAGACCACAGGCATATGCCATCACCCCTGGCCAATTAAAAAAAATCTTTTTTCGAGATGGGGGTCTCACTATGTAGGCCAGCCTGGTCTTGCACTTGTGGGCTCAAGTGATCCTTCTGCCTCGGCCTCCCAAAGTGCTGGGATTACAGA